TGCTCACGAGGTAAGCTCTGGCAGACACCACAGCACATCTTGCCATTATCTGGCAAAACACCACCTGGAATCTTTGCAAAAGAAACAGAACTATAATGAACTACACCTACAGAGGCTGTCTTTAGTTGGGTTATTTTTAGTGTGCTTTTAAATCCTTATTTTGTAGGAACATAGGACTTGTATTTCTGCATTAAATACACAAATAAGAGGACATGAAGTAACTTTCAGGCTTTGATTAGAATCAAGATCACGACTACAACAAAGTAGATGAAGGCAGTGTAGAGATCCTCTACCTCCCCAGTCCTTTTCTTTGCATGTATTTAATCTCAAATACTTTGATTTACAACAGAGCTACATGAAGTCACTCTCTTCATCAGTAAAATTTTATATTCTGCAATCAAGACTTACTACTTTAGAGAACCTGAACGAAGTACAGTTCTGCTGACAAAACCAGAACTTGTAAATGCAAAAGGATTTTCTTCCAGTATTTGTCTTACGAAAAAACACAATCCAAGAATGAGGTGACATGGTAATTACTGGGCCCAGATGTGTCTTCTGGTGTACCAGCATTTCTCTTTTGCCTAGTCTAATCGCACTGAGTCAGTCCCAGATGGATTTCCAGTTCCTCATTGAGGGCACCAGCTGGAAATGGAGCCAGCTGAGTTCTGCACAGCTGGGCAGCCTTACTTTAAACACGGTGGCCTTGTCTTATTTCAGACAGAAGGTAGTACAGACCTGTAATGTAGGATCCTGGGGATACAGGATAAAGCATTAGAGCAAGGCAAGAGGGATGCAACTTGGGGAGAAAAAACCCCTTCAGTTTTTATTACGTGGTTGAGGTAAAAGTGGATTGTCTTTGTCTTTTTCAGACTTTTTTTCCATCTGGTTATCTTATTCCTCTTACTCAGTGTGCCCATGGCAACAAGGCAGGCTTTTCTAGTAACGAGAGAGCTGGGCTCTGCTCATTACAGCACACTGCCTACAGCTCGCCCATCGCTGGTGAGTATTAAACACAACAGACACACGCTTGTCCTACCGAGGTAATGAAATCACAACACAGTGGCTGGAGTCTCAATGTTTAATCCCCTTTAACGCCTGATTTTTTCTGTTTTAGGTGTCATTCCAGTGACAGCACCTGAACTGAAAGCAGTTAACATTCCTGACATATAACACCCTTGAATATAATGTTGTCACCCACTTCCATAGCTGCTGCACCTGTGCTGAGAAACTCCTGCCTCAATTCAAGCAACACCAGTTCTGCCCCAAACCCAGGCTCCTCAGTTCTCAACTTTACGCTGCAACACGTAGGACTAATACCCACTGGCATGCAAGTTGCCACAAATCCTTTTCTTCAGCATGTGCCAGTCTCCTCACAACCAGAAAATGTTAGCCAAAGCTCAGAAAACGGGAACTTACAAGAAGAGAATGTAAGTAAAAATATATTGCAAATTCTTCACCACGGTGGGTTGAGAAAGATGTCAGTATTTTCTTTACAGCAGGCAGAATTTTTAAATAAACATTGTTTTGATCTGTGTAAATCAGCACTGCCCAAAATGTGCCGGCAGTGCAGGCCAGCCTAAGTACAACGTAACTGCGAGGCTGGAAAGGGAGAACAAGTATCTTCTTTGTTGTGGGAGTGGAGCCAGCTGGAAGATGGTAAGATATGAGGAGACAACTGGTTCAGAGGGAGGATTTTGCATAGGTCTGAGATGACACTCATCAACAAATTGTCCATTTGTTACTTTTATCTTGTTACTCTCCTCATCTACTCTCAAATTGCAATTAATGTTAGCTTTTTTTTTTTCCTATAGGATGGGATTGTACAGGATTTTTAAAGAATCTTTTTTTCCCAGGGGAAGTTTCTCTATATATTTTGTGTAATACTTTATCACCTAAGATCTGTTTGTATTGAAAAAAGGAGATAGGGCAGGATTAGAGAAACTAGATTTTAAATTAATTATTTTTCTATATATTTATAGCTGTATCAAGGAATACAGGTATATTCTCAGTAAAGAATTTTTAGATTTTTAAATTTCAGGAAAATAATTAGGTTGCTAACGTCCTGTAGAAACTCAAAACTAGAATTCACTTTTTCTCCTTCTTCTTGAACAAAAGTAATTTTCTATCTTGTCTTTAGCCTTCTGCTCCAAAGGAACCCCAAGAGCCCCAGACAGTTACAGAAAACTTTTTCCGCACTCCGGGAGGGCCGAACACGGTGTCTTCACTATCTGCAAATTCAGGTGGTACTGACAGAATCTCTCAAGGAACTCTATATATTCCTCAGCGAAAACTTGAAGTGTCAGAAGACTAATTTGGATATCGAATTGCTCGGTGTGTTAGCAGACCCAGCTACTGGTAACACCCTGCACCTGTCCTGGGCTGGACATTGTGTGTTCTGGACATGTATTGGCAAGACCTCAATACTGGAATAGCCTTAATGAATGCTTTAGTATTAAAACTGGCTCTTAATGAGAAAGTTAATGTCTCATATATTTTCCAGAAATCTCACCCTGAAGTATTATAACAAAGTTACGTGTCTAGTGGGTTTTTTTGTGTTGCTTTTTTTTCTGCTATGCAAAGTAAGCTGAAATTGTTTTTTGTACAGAAAGGTACAGTCTATCAGTCAGTACATATTTTGCACAAAGAAAAGTACTGTGAGTGTGTACATATTTTATGTCTTAACAAAAAGGCCATAGTTAAAATGTCTTGCTCTTATGTTCAATAATGCTCTTTTGTAAAGTTAGGAAAAAAAAAAAAAAAGAATTCTTAATCAATTTTTATATAAGTTAAGAATTATTTATACTGTATTTTTAAATTGATTTGTTCAGATTAAACTTGCATCAAACTCATATTTTGATCTTTTTTTTTCTTTGTTTGATCAAATTAAATTCCCTAAGTAATACATTGTACATTCACTGGGATCTCTTCATTCTTATTTATGTCAGACAGGGTTGTCTCTGTCTTCTGAAGAAAGAGAAAATGGTATTTCTTCAAAAAGGGATTTAAGTCACTCAATCTGACTGCTGAACTCTGTCACTGGAGATGACATCTAAAAACAACCATTAGAGGAAAGGACAGTTATAAAGTTTGGAATTCAGAGCGTTCTAGAAAGCGCAATCAGGAAGTCACGACTGACTGTGAAACCCGGGTTTGGGTCTCAGACAGACGATCGCAGTAAGAGCTGGAGCTGAAGGTTCACTCCCTCGCCTCGCTCCTGTTGGAGCCAGGTGCGTGCCACCCCACGCTCTCCCAGAGAGGCTTCAAGCCTGAGAGAAAGCTTTCCTAACATTTCACCTGAGGTTTTGTAACCAGCTCAGCACTTTGTGGCAGAGATCACAGGCCCAGTTACCAAAGCACGAGCTGGTCAGGGCTGCAAGCAGCGCAGGGCTTCTCGAAGGCAGGAGCCCCGTGTCTCAAGTGTCTCGGGCGCCTGACCTGGGCAGAGGCTGTGCTGTGAGCGCCCGCTTCCCAGCCGAGATCAGGGTCAGCTTCCAACTGTTGTTTCTCCCCTCGTGCGACTTCCTATCGAAGGGGTGTAAGCCAACTGAATTTCACTATGTGCAGCAGACTCTCTTCTCGTACAGCTCACGCTCTGATGACAAGTTAGAGAACACTGTATTTGCCTTTCAAGGTGCCTGGGCAGAGGCTGTGCTGTGAGCGCCCGCTTCCCAGCCGAGATCAGGGTCAGCTTCCAACTGTTGTTTCTCCCCTCGTGCGACTTCCTATCGAAGGGGTGTAAGCCAACTGAATTTCACTATGTGCAGCAGACTCTCTTCTCGTACAGCTCACGCTCTGATGACAAGTTAGAGAACACTGTATTTGCCTTTCAAGGTGAAACGTGCCTGGCTGTCCAAAGCCATGCTAGCAAAGCTAAAGATTCAGGTTTGGAGGGGGTAAAAAATAAATAAACAAAAAGAGTAGTTAAAACAGCTAACCCAGTAAAACTAACTAGCTTTCTCTTTAATAATGCAAAATTATAAAATTATAGTACAAAATACACCTGACAGAATAGCATCACAATTGAAATACTCCTAACCTGAGGGGCAAGAGAAGAATAAAAGCTGGGAAATGGAGGAATTCTCACTGCAGCAGTGAGCAGGTTTTTTTTCCTCTCCAAAGTGACAATTGATCGATCTTCCTTACACATGCTATCAATTCTAGAGGCATAAAGGCAACGACTTACAGAAACTAATGTTACTCAAAGGAAACAAACTGCAAACCTTTGATTTTTGGACACCACAGCTGACAGAATAAGAAACTACAATAATTAGGCTTGGAGAAATGATTTTCTCACAAACAGTGCTGTATTCTGAAAAGCTGAACATAGATTCTGACTTGCTAGGTCTGGTGTCCCTCAGCTCCCGTCAAAATACAGTGGCTGGCTTTTTCACGTAGGCTTTGTAACACCTAGTACTTTATTTTGTTCTTGTTCATGTTTTAGGCTGCAAAGCTACCACTTCTCTGCTCTAAGTACCCCATTCCCCAGAAGACCTGCATTTTGCTCGGACTAGCTGAGCTCTTCCCCCGCCTCACCTACCCTCAAACACGACCCGAGTACCCGACTGCTCTGCCGCCAAGCTCGAGGAAAGTCCCACTGATCCTCAAGCTCGTTTCGCTTTTGATATGCTGCCTTCCAGTTCTCTGAGCGGTGTTTTTTAACCCCTACATTTGATTTATAAAAAACACTACATTCCCGTTCCACCAGCGATATAAAAGTTCGTGCATGCGTAAGCTCCAGTCTGACTGCCAGTCTCGGGTGCTGACAGCCACGGGGGACCAGGGCTCCTCTGAGCAGAGAAGAGCCTCTCAGCAAGACCCCGTCCTTACAGGAGGAGTCCCTTACCCAGTGCTGGGGTAGCACAGGAATACAGGAATGACTCGAGAGCCAGTACCAGGAAACTAAAGGTTGTTCCCTGCCTTTTCGCCTTAAGTTCTTTGACAAACTCAAAGGGAAGATACTGAAATTTTGGGACAAAGTCCTCCTCCACACATTCCCTTACAGTTACAATGCAAATCCATCCAATTACACAGTCACGGTTCAAAGCCATCCAAGCACACAATACAATCTACATGGTGTGAGTGAGGATCAATGAAGATTGAGTTCCCTCAGTTGTCAAAGGTCCTAACTTAGAAACCACCAAGGGTGTAAACAGCAAGCAGTGGCAAGCCTCTCAGCACCTTCCCTGTGCTCCAAGAGCGAGCTCAGACCTGCCCTGACCCACCCCTGGCTGCCATCTTACAAGAAAGGGTCGTACCACGTACACGTTGCACCATCACCTGTGCATTTAACCTTGTCTGACGCCGGCAGAATTCCCTTATAACTGTACAGGGAGAACAACCAACAAGAGATGAACCCAGCTCTCCTGCTCAGGAAAGAATAGACCTCTAACTTTACATCAAGGACCTGTCTGCGTTGTAAAATCTCTGCTGGACTCCACAGCAAACAGATCTATGGGCTCCTGAGAGTTTTCAATGTAGCCTCAGGAAAGAGACCCCTGAAATCCTAAAGTCTGTCATGGATTTGACATTTAATTTCCTTACATTCCCATCGAAGTCCCAAGGTTGAGACTCGGGTTCGGACTTGTGATGTTCAGCCCCCCAGGCTGTCAGGGCTCGGCTGTTTCACACAACTAAGCCCATGATACTGAACAAAGATTTTAAGTTCAGACATCCCTTCACAAAATGAGAATTACCTTCTAAAGCCATAAAGCACTTAAAGCCTTGTGGAAAGTGAACGTAATTGCTTCATACCTTAGTTTCCTCTTCTTTAGTAGGTCTGCAGCATCATCCATTCCCAAGGAGCTCCGAGGCATGGCAGTGATTAGACAGGGCAAACATTATGCACGTTAGCTAACCATCTTAATGCCTAAAACCAGTAAAAATTTAGAGTGGAAAGCCTAATTCTCTGTCCTTTAAAAAACAACCCAGTCATATGTATCAAATCAGAAACTGCTGAATGAGGTTCTGTTTGGTTTAGAACTGTTCCAGAGATTCCTATAAACTGGTTTTGATTTTTATTTTGTTTTTTAATAATTATTTTGGTAAACCACTTTCAGCAAAGTGACCATTTATAACTAAACCCTCATTTCAAAAGCCATTATTTTACGTTTCACATTTAAGCAATGTGGTAGCTGCTATCAACCTTTAATCTTTATTTCTGATCTATTAGCTGCCCGTCAGGAATG